TCTCCTTTATGCTAAAAAGCCGTTTATTTTCAAGCAATATATTCTCGAATACAATACGGAGATTTACCCAGGAACTGGCATAGACATTTCTTAAGCGTAAGCCTTCGCTTGCTTTAAAAATTATCTCGATGCGACTTATTATGTTCTTAGTAAGCGAGAGACTTTCTGATACATGAAACTTGTTTTTTGTGACCATTGCTGGGCTTTTGCGGAATGTTCAGCTGCCTTCTGCTGCAAGAGTCAAACATTCCTTTTTCTTGGTAATACAAACGATACCTCTAAGTTATGATACCATGAGATAAAACCATACAGACGTTTTTGCTTTGACACTTGTTTAATGCAATCAAGTCGGTTACAACATAGATATACTTCACGGTTTTCAAGAGGCGAATAAGCTTTTTAAATCACTGCAAGTAACTTAAATAATACTTATCTAATGACTTTAACAGTAGCCTTTTATATCACAGGCATTCTACTGCAACTTATAGGATTTTTATAGCTCGCTAGGTGGTTGTAGTCGCTCATTCCATCATCAGCCGCCCTTTTTGAATAAATGCAATTTTATGAGTACTGGGGAAGGCCGAATGATCGTGCTTTTACGAAATAACACAAAATGGTTTGCATGGTGGGCGAGGAGGTGGCCTGTTCGCTAGAGCAACAATTTGCTTCTGAAGCTCGGCAATTTGGTCATTTCTTTTATCCATTGACTGCCGCATCTGCTCCATCGTCTCCTTAAGGGTTTGATTTTGCTCGATAATTGCCTCTCGATCCTTTCGCAGCTCTTCCATGTTTGCTGTCATCATGTTGTGCATTTGCTCTCTTTGGGCTTCCATGTCCGCTCTGAACTGCTCTTCCAACCGTCTCCTATCTTCGTCTTGTTTAACTTTCAGAATTTCCATCTAGGACACAATACGAGATTCAATAATTGATATTTGAAACATTTAGAATTGAAACAGTCTAAGCTAATCTATTTCCTCTTTAAATGGAACTGGAGTATACGAATAAATGGGAAATGATCAGACTTTGCTGGGAGGTGGAATGGAGACACTGGTAGAATTGTGTTAGTTCTGGAAAAATGATGGAGATAACCCATGTAAAAGTGGCCCATGGATGATATGCTAATTCAATGCGACCTTCAGTTGACGCCCAGCTAAAACGTGATAAGTGAAGAGACAAAACAAAAACAAAGGTAACAACGAAAACCGCTTGATCAATCGATAAACAAACAGACGAAGATATAAGGGAACAAACCTCTTTTTCTTTCGCACGCCGCACCTCTTCTAACCGAGCATTCTCTTCCTAGGGGTCAATCACATATCGCCACATATTACTAATAATTCTCAATCTGTATTTCAAAAAGACAATTTCGAGAACCAACCATAGTTGCAACTGATGCAAGTGCGTTGGTAGTTATCGCATATTCAATGAACCATGTTTTATACCATTACTATTTACTTATTACAGCCATTTTTGTTGTCTATCTTATTAATGGCATGTTTTCGTCGCCATTATTGTTCTTACTGATGTTGACATATAATCCGTATCTTTCTCTCTAATGTCTTAAATGTGTTACCTCGATTCGTCGTCTCTCCTGCTCCTGACGAGCCTTTTCTTGTCTTTCGAAAGCCAAAGACTCGTCGAAGTCCTTCAGCTGTTGTAAATACGCCATGTGTTTTTCCATCTCTGCCTGCATTTCCTGCCAGGCCAAAGTAAGAGTATGTAAGATATACCCTTCATAAAGGCACCTTCACTTCAGTTTTTATTATTTAGTTTTGCTTGTTTATATTAAAAAAAGACAACCAAAGGTCTTTATCTTACCCTATCCATTATAGCTCACAACTAATTCTTAGCACGAGCAAGTTTCCGGCCATCCTACACAACAAACTTCATTGGCATGTGATCCGCCCCTCCCTTGCTTGTAAGAGACTGACTAGAACGTTTTCATCGGTTTGAAAGAAATCCCACATGCACCTACCGGATGAAACTCGTAAAACACTTGAGCACAAATGTCCTTGGCTCCACGTGCGTCACATTTAAATCCCTGCTCAATTGCTGAGTAGCCTCCAATAATCTGAGAGAAGCTGACTGACGCTCCATCCTTGCCGCTGAGCTTCCTTAGAACGGGGTCTAAGTGTTCTTCTTTCAAAGCCCTCAGCAGTTTATGGCATTGTTCTTTCGTAAGTCGATTGTTCTCATTCTGCCACCGTTTCAATGCTTCGTTCATACTCTCCTAACAAGAAATAACAGTGCTCGTTCCATTGAAAGGTATTGTTTTAGGCAACAACATAGGCGTGCTCAGGAAACTAAAATACTGGGTGTTCCTAACAGGAGCCTCACTAATGACCCTCTGACCTAATAGTATCTTCTGAAAAATGCGTAGAAAGCCCTTCTACATTTCAACTAGATATTTTACTCGTGAACTTAGAACGCCATAGAAGTCGTAAACTACCCAAGGGTGGATTTTGAGGGATGAGCATTCTTTAACTTTCAAAAGGTTGCTCGGCCAGAAATTTCTGGGGAAAATGTTGATCAGCTCATTAAAAATAGTACTGTAATGTCGCAGTCTCACCATGAGCTCATCCAAATACTTCTCGCTACTCGAGGCAGATACTCCAGCAGTTTCTTCCTGAAAAATCTTCGTGCCTTCTTCAATGGCTCTCTCCTGGACCTGACGTATTTTATCGCTGTCACAAGGCAGTAAGCCATCCAGCTCTGATGTTATTGTACTTTTATACACCTGTAAGGCGGCTAGCTTGGCCTCAGTGCACTTAGTGTGCACAAAGATCTCCCACGCACTCTGCACACTGGGCACCGTGCCAGGAGTGTTCAAGGCGGAAACGTAAATATTAACGAGAGCTGCAAGAGCTATTATGTTAAAGAAAAAAAAATAAGGTAAAAAAACGATGTTAAATTTCTTTCGTATCTAACACTAAAGAGATAACTTTCGCTTGCACTGGGAAAGTAATCGGGAGATAGGTGTTCTTACTTGACAATAATGATTCTGAACGAAATGATCTTAATTCANATTGAAATCTTTGCAATTTGTTTCGAAGCAATTCAACATGTTTGACATAAATGAGGTTATTTAAACACATGTAACTCATTTTAACAATTTATGAGGTTTTGCAATTGTGACGTGCTTCGCACAGGCAATTCACGTGTTCATTGACAAAGACGACCTCTCCGTCAGAGTTGATTAATTTTAAATTGCAAATTACGAAAATTGAGACTCTATTTTCATAATCTTCGCACCCTTTCATGTTAATTCTTCGCGCCAAGATCGCTTTACCTTGTTAATAGAGTCTGACTACTCGGAAATGTCATATTTTATCATTCGTTTTTACCGTTTTATGCTTAAAGAAGTTTCTTTTAATACCAAATACATCATTTTAACAGCTACGGTTTTTGTAAACAGATGAGACGCATTTGCGGTTACCTGAAATGTTTCGTTTATGTTAGTCTGAGAGAGGTTTCGGTGGTTAGGTGCACATACTTAAGAAAGAAAAACAATCAAAACGATGAAGTTCACGCGGGACAAATACTTTAAAAATTGTAGGATACTCGGAGACACTTGATAACGCTGAATATTATATTCTTATGTTTATTTCTGTTTAATTAATCGTTCAATATAATAATTTATTTCCTTTAAATTTGAAGGTCATACAACTGTTTTGGGTGACGAAGTCGTATAAGGGGAAAATGGACGACCAATCTTTGCAGTCGACGTCTTCTGAATTTACTTGCAAGATGTCGGAAAACTGCGCCGTTCCACTGTGTCTCCCAAACAACTGCAAATGGGATGAGCAGACAGGGGAATACAGCACAGACGAAGAGGGTGAAAGAACCAGCCTGTATGTTGTGAATGCTGCTCTGGAACGATTGAACAACATTAAAGGTAACTCTTGGATTGCACGACAATGATCAGAGAATAGCTGCAACTTTAACTTTTGGTATCCAATGATGCACATGCATCAGTGTGTGGATACTTAGATTTAAAACATGCCATTTCAATTTACTGTGTTATTATGTGATCTGGGTTCTATTGTAGGTCCAGTGTGTGTTGTTTCTATTGCTGGTCCATGTAGAAAAGGAAAATCTTACATCTTGAGTAAGGTTTTTGATCAAGGCGAAGTTTTCCCCCTTGGACATGAGCTGGACCCCGAGACTATGGGCATATGGTTGTGGATTGTACCAGAAAAATTTCAGGTAAATGCAAATGTGTCCTATCTGTTTATTTCTTGTTAGAATCATGTAAAAAGGTAAAGAACAACTTCAGATAAAAAACTAAACAAACCAACAAACTAAAAAAAACACAAAAAACTGGAAGTAATGACAATAATATAATTAACGAAAATGAGATTGACCCTGAATCATAATTAAGATGAAATGAAAGCAAAAAGTAGATTGCCATAGTTACTGATATTCTGTTACATAACTTTCTGAGGAGTTTTCACTGCTCAACCTAGGTACATAAATGATGAGGTAAATTGTCTTCCCATAATCCAAATCAAAACACAGAAATTGATCACTACCACATAATATTACTTAACTTAAAAGGTTGGAAATCTCAGTTTAATCCGGCTTTGTTTATTTGCCTCTGCATTGCTGTTGCTATTTCTGTGGTTATCATTGTTCGTTTTTTGCTATTGTTGTTATTATATTGGTGTTGCAGTTGCTGATCTCAGGTTGGTGATATCTAGCTGTAGGTGCTGTTTATAGTCCATCCAAAATATAGGAAATGGATTTTTGCTTTAATGATTTGATATCAAATCGGTTACCTTAAACTCACCAATTTTTGTTTTCTCTCAGTTTTATATTTTTGATGTTGTTGTCTTTCTTTTGATATTTTCCCCGACATAAGAAGTTCAGTTATTATCATCAATACCCACAGGACGCCGGCGGACAGGAATTCACAGTCGTCTTATTGGATTCAGAGGGAATAGATGCTGTATCTAGTGACCATTCTGACGATCACTGTATATTTACACTGACCATTCTTCTCGCTTCTGTACTGATATACAACTCCGCTGGTGTTCCAACCAGAACTGATCTTGACGGACTAGAGTATCCTTATGTGGGGTTTCGCTTATGAAAACATGTTTATTTGAGGCAAGGATATTAACAAGTTTTCATTTTACGCGGTGTAAGTCTTATAATTAATCTGGGAAAGACTATGATATTGCACCCACCTGGTCGAAGAGTGAAAGCTCTTAATTCTTTTTTATCAGCTTGAAGTCCATTATGAAATATATCGCGTTTCATGTAGTCATTAAATGGCGTTTATGGCAGTCATGGCGTTAGCATGTCTTTAGACAAAAAGGAGTGTCTGAATCCTGTATTGGTACTAGTGCTGAGTTGACAAATGATGACACAAATCCCTGCATGTCTTCTTACTCTAGTTTTTTGATATAATGATACATTGTAGTTCTCATTTGAGGCTTTCTTGACGTACAAAACACTCTCAGCTACATTGTCAAGCTGTCACAGCGAATCCAAATTTATTCAGGAAGTCAAACGTCCAGTGAAGCCAAAACTTCCATAGAAGATGATGATGCAAGAGCCTTTCAGAAGACTTTTCCTTTCTTCGTTTGGCTGCTTCGAGATGTTGTTCTTGCCCTTCCTAAAGGTTGCCATAGTATAAAAGATTACTTCTTGACAAAGGTACAAAAGATTTAACTATTCAAAACATTTTTCAGTAAAAAATGTGTATATCTCAATTTGGAGGGAAATGGTCTTCAAAATAATTATATTTAGATGCTTTTATCTTCTTTACTTTGAGAAATTTGCTGACAAAATACCACGGTTACCACTAGCATATTAAAAAAAATTCTTTACCAAACTTAAGATTCCGCAATGATAGATAAAATGTCATTCGATTCCAAAAGGTACACTTCCTAGTAACATTTAATCAGTAATTCACTTCTGAAATTGGCTGAACTTTCTTGAAGGTAACGATAAAAAATGTTTCAGCAGAAACGTACTTTTTTGAATGAACGGAAATTTATATACGATTTAAAATTGTTCAATGAATTG